AGCGATGCATCAATCGCTTCATTCACCTACCGGCTGCGCAGACGCGACATGCGCCGCTCTGTAAAATTATTCTTACAATAAGTTTCTGTTCTCTCAACCTTCCAACATAGTTTATTCCTCATAGGTGAATACTTCCAGTGCTACGAATAGTTTGGAAAGCCTGGCTCATTGTGGTCAAAGTAGTTGATTAAATTAAATAAAGTGAACATGACGTGCATAATATGGATTGTCATTAACCGTGAAAGATATAATATAGGCTACTCTGTAACTGAGAATATTTCACTGTCATTTTATTTATATGAATAATTTATTTAATTGTCCAGTTTGTACGCTAAAACAGGCTATGAGCAGACCTTCTCTGTTGATCTTCTTGTTTACTTTGTAGATTTCTGACCAACAAGAAATACATTAAAATAACCAACTAATTATACCATACAAAACAAATTTTCAATTAGATAATTTTTTAGACAAAAAAAAATAATTTTTCAGACATGCTTTCAGTTTCTCCATCTCACTCGTAGCGAGTTTAGGCAAAGGAATGTAAAACTGGCCTCAGACTGTTCAATTTAGTCTTCTTTAAACCTGCAGGAAAATATCAGGCAGGTTATTCTACCAACGATTAGAGTCAATAGTGGTAGCCTATTACAGATGTCAAAGAAAAATCTTGATAGTAAAAAAAAACATATGCTGGACAACAACATAACATATATCAATGTCATAATGAATGCTCAAATAATGTAGCCTATAGTTTACATCAAGCATCATGTTTTTAGCTAGATTGTGCCGTCTGTCATATACAGTAGGCCTGTAGGTCTGTTATTTTTTACTAAAGGAGATATACTATTTGATTTAATCACCAGAATTATAGAAACTGTATTATGTAAAAAAAAATAAAATAAAAAACAACAACACAGTATCGGGAACAGACTTGTATCATTCAAATTTTGGTATCAGGATCCCAAAAAAATGGTGTCAATGCATCCCTATAAATAAGATAAGAAGTGCATGCCACATTCAACTGTTTTTCTTTCTTCAAGCTTTACATCTAATGTAAGAGTAAATTATTTTAGCTCAAACCAATATTTTGTGTCTGATTGTTAACTTTTGTGGTAAGTAGCCATATATTAAGCAGGATAATGTACATCTGTGGCCTCATGTATCAACGCTGCGTACGCACAAAAACTTTGCGTACGCCAGGTTTCACGCTCAGAATTGCTAACGTTTGGATTTACTAACGATGAACTGAACGTAGGAATGTGCGCAGCTCCACGCCAGCTTTACGGCTGGTGTACGCGCATTTTTTGTGCGTGTCTGTTTTATTTCCATTGGCCACTCCTAGAGGCAGTTGTGTTAAATTCCTCTCTACAAAGTATCTGAGCCTTGCAATGGCAGCTGTATGAGACGGGTTCATCTAGCAGGTATATAAGGTTTCCATACCATACAGTTGACCAACTAAACATTAAAGCTCAAATTGTAGCGGTCGCCTGATTTCCCAATGTAATCTGAGCTATCTACTGCGCGCACATTGCTATAAAGACACTATCTGAAGATGAATTTGCATGCGTGAATCAGAAACATTTCCATTCAATAAATGTGCAAATAAAATATGATGCACAAACTTATTAATGATTCCTACTTGTCTTACTCGTGATAAATAGTTGGCAAAATCTTATATGTAGCGAGGAAAAAAAGAAGAAAGAGTTCATCAGACGCTGGATTCGAACCGAGTTCATGCTCGAACGTGTCAAAATATGTTGTCATGCGTCTTACGAGCTGCTCCACTGAGACTGTTACCTTAGTAGCAAAGAATTCTGGCCCAGATTTGGCAAAAAGCTGGCACAGCAGGCATTCATCCGGCACTGGCATACAGCGTGTGGGCCAAACATGGCCCGGGTTTGGCAGAGGTGGCACCGTTTTTAAGGCGGCACACAAGATTTGGGCCAGATGAAAAACGTAGTATTTGGCCCAGATTTAAAAATTTGATAAGTGGGCCATGTGAGTTTGGCCAGTCTTGACCCACATTTAAAATACACTAAAATCATTTTTGAGTAAAGAAAAAAAAAATTCTACCTATCAGGTCACTTTGAGAAAAAGCGTGCCCATAGTGTGCCTAAAGCACATCACTCCATGGGTTTATCAATTTCATTGCAATCGTGACACACCAACCTATCTGGCCCAGTTCAGGCCCAGTTATGACTTATTAACTTGGCTGAGACTTAATTGGCCCAGATATGGTCTGTGTTTGGCCCTTGTCTGGAAGCCAGATTTGGTCCAGTCATGTACTGTAATTCACTGCGGCATGTGGGCCAAGCAAAACCTGATTGTGTGGGCCAGAGCTGGGCCAGAGAAATTTTGCTATGTGGGAATGTTATTCTTTTTTATTCAAATGTTATACATTTTATTGTACATTATCTTATGCATATTAAGTTGAGTCTATATCCAGCAAGCACACAACATTATAGGACGTTAGGTTAGATTTAGGTCATGACGTGACCAAAATTCAATAGCCAGCATCTAAGGACCTTATTTTGACGTCCAATAACAACGTCAAATTACGTTGATATTTGGTTGTGCTGGAGAGTGACTAAACTTCAATGTCTGATAGATGTCTTAGTGGTAACATCCACACAATGTCAAGATGTAACATGATTAGACGTTGTTATTTGGTTAATTTGAGGTTGATTTTTAGGTTGGACATTGATGTCGGCCTGACGTTGGGTTCTGCCATCAACCTGATTTTCATTTCCAAACAAAATCCAATCAAAAAGGTTATGTGGGGTACAACGTCAGTATGACGTCACGTTGGCGTCCTGTGCCTGCAGGCTAGTCATCTGTGAATACTTGACGTTGTCTATACCAGTCCAAATGCATCTACTGTATTATCCGTAATTTTTCAGTCAGCATTTTATAGTAAACTACCTTACTAAACTAAATATCATTAGTGTTCTTGAAATGGGTTCCTGAATGTGAATGTGGATTAATAAATATTTCTTTGTCTAGTCCTGTGCTTTAAATCGTCCCAAGTTTCATATACAGTTGAAGTCAGAATTATTAGCCTCTATTGATTGATTTATTTTTTTTCTTTTTAAAATATTTACCAAATGATGTTTAACGGAGCAAGGACACTTTCACAGTATGCCTGATAATATTTTTTCTTCTGGAGAAAGTCTTATTTGTTTTATTTCGGCTAGAATAAAAGCAGTTTTTAATTTTTTTGAACCATTTTAAGGTCAAAATTATTAGCCGCTTTAAGCTATATATTTTCGATAGTCTACAGAACAAACCATCGTAATACAATAACTTGCCTAATTACCTTAACCTGCCTAATAAACCTAATTAACCCAGTTAAGCCTTTAAATGTCACTTTCAGCTGTATAGAAGTGTCTTGAAAAATATTATTTACTGTCATTATGACAAAGATAAAATGAATCAGTTGTTAAAAAATGAGTTATTAAAACTATTATGTTTAAAAATATTTTGAAAATAAAAATCTTCCCTCCGTTAAACAGAAATTGGGGGGGGAAAAAAAATAAACAGGGGGGCTAATAATTCTGACTTCAACTGTAGGCCTACTTCAGTGGACTTTGTGTGACAATACATACCAAACTTTGCCAATATGCTGAAGAATTGTAGAGAGGAGTCCTCATTTTCAGTTTTGCCATCCTTACTGTGAAATTGCCATGTAGCACAAACAATAAATCTTGGATCGAAATGAATTTCACAACTTTGGCCAGCCAGCGAGCGCAGAACAAATAAGGAACTAAATAAACCTGATCAGTTCAAAAGCCAATAATTGTGTCTGAGTTACGACTGCCATCTAACTTTTGCAACTCGTTTAAAGAGCTTACCACTTCTTTACAGAATGAGACACTGCGAAAATAAAGAGATACAACACAAAGTAAAGCTCTCACAGCGATCAGATATTTTATAGAGTTGTTCACACAAGAGCAGATGAAAATGAACATTTTGTTCTCAGATAGGATGTGGTCATGTCTTGACCGACATGGCTGACCATGCTTGTTTTGCATGTGTGTGTGTGTGTGTTGTGCACATGCCCGTGTTTGTCCTCATGTGCTCATGCAGATATCAGAACCACATTTTTTCTCTCCGAGAAGAGCATCTGTCCTGTGCTTCATATCTTCATTAGCAATGTAGTTATCGAACAATAAGCCCAAATCTGCTGGAACATTGATGCATTTAAAGATCAGACGTCTTATACTGTACCTTGTTAGAAATATTTCTGCAAAAGTATTAACCAAGATTAAACGAACAGCCATTTCTAAAAGCATGATGATGATGATGAAGTGGAACCTTTAAACCATCTGTCAGCACATTGTTAATAAAAAATAACTAAAATCAGAACAACTCAAAGCTGGTCTGAATAGTTACATCAAATGTTAAAAGCATTAGAAGAAAGGCATTTTTCAATTGTCCCAGAAGCAGTTCAGCTCATTTTAATTGTACAATCAGGTTCATATATATTTGTCAAGGTGAACATTTATTGTTTCTGAATGAGAGTTTGAATGACAGAATGTTAGATAACAAGAGTCTAGGCTTAAAAGGCAAAATAACACACAAATATATCATGGAGTGATGAGAAGAAAAAATAAGAACGAACGAAAGAAAAAAAAAACACAAAATATTTTTATGCACCCATTTTTTTTTTCTCGTAATATCATTGCTATTAAAATATAAATGTATTTATAAATGCTAGATTCCGTAAGGTCCAAATAATAAATAAATAAATAACAAATAAATAAAGAAAATAAATACAATAAAATGGGCCACATTTCATGAATGAAAACAAAAAAAGAAAACGTAGGGAGGAAAAGCCTTCACAATCTAGAGCGTGAGCTTTATATGAGCTCCAGGGTAAGAGTGTTATTTGTGTGACCAGTTCTTCGCATTAGCAAGATAGACTGTCTGAGGATATTGTCAGTAAAACCTTGTGAATACGTACGTTTCTGTAGTGACGCAAACATAAAATACTGTACAACAGGTGATTTGTTTTTCTTTAAATGATCACACATGATAAACATGACACAAAGGAACGCTTTGAATATAATGTAACATTCTACATGGATAGGACAAACGTTAAAACAAAAATGATCTGGACGATAACTAATAAAATAAAATAAAATATAAGGAATAAAAATGACGTCATTATCATAAAAGTGGTGCTAGAATTCCCTCGAGTAGCCGATCGACATAGTGAGCCATATATTCAGTCATGATTCAGAAAACATCAACGTCTGCTTCACCTACAGTATAATATCAAACGGAATAACGTGATTATATTGGATTAATAGCTGATTGTACATTGTGAATGTGTTTGTAGCATGTTTAGAGCTTTTTGAATTGTCTCGTTTTCAGTTTGCAGCAGCCTCACATATTTGAAATCAAAACGCAAATAATTAACGCAAAAATAGAAACCTCCAGGTTTTCAATCCTGGTCCTGGCGACCCACAGCTCTCTTATCAGACACAGTTCAGTTCATGGAGCTGATGATATGAATCGATGGGTTAAATAAGACAGAATTAAAGCAAAATGTTGAAGTGGGTTCCCATTATCAGGACTGAAAAACACTAGGTTAGAAGATCCTGACGCACATTTACACTTTAATCCGAACGCTAGAATTCAGACATGGAGTGCTGGTGGATTTTTTTTTCTTCATCTCTCAGTCACAGAATTTATTTAGTTGCTTTAAAGTCATGAATATATGGCCCAGTGTCATAATGCAGTTCTGAAATTAAAAGGCACCATTTATTATATTTTTTCTGCCATTTGAAATACTGTGACCTCAGCTACATGTGAATGGCACTTTTTTTTCCATGACACACACATTGTACACGTTATAAAAGTCTTTGTTTTTACTACATCGCTAAAATAAAAGTCGACGTTTTTCTTTCGCAAATACTTAATTATAGAAAATAAAGGTTTAGTGGTGATTTGTTTTTCTTCTTGGATGCATTTTCACACAGCTATAGGATCCTGGTTGGCCATGACGGCTGTTAGTCTGTTCTGCAGCTCGTGTTGCGGTGAGAGGTGCAGCGCGGGGTTAGTTCTGCTGCCCTCTAGCCCGTCCAGAACAAGCGAACCAGCGGCCAGAGGGTTCTGTAAGCCCAGAAACGGCGTGTCCTCGCCCACCCGTTCATCCTCGGTCTCGCTCTCTGAGCTGCTGCTCTCTGAGTTACTGCCACTAACCGCTTGCTCAGGCGCCGCTTGACCACTCGGTTGAGTTCTTGCGGCGCTGGGGCTGTGCGGGGCGGAGGACGGGACAGATGTGCTTTTGTACTGCTCTAAACAATCAATCTCCTCCTCTATATGCAGCGGGCTGGGTGGAGGGCTGGGGATGTCCAGGCCGTGATTGTAGTGGGCGGAGTTACGGAGATTATGGCCTGATTTACGGCCTTGGGTTGAAGCAGATTTGTCACGCAGGATTGGTGGTGTCCGGAACAGCAGAGGACGCTCCTCTTCTCCAGAGGGACTGGTTAACATGGATGGGACGGAGGTCGCCAGGCTGGAGAGAGGAGCTGACATCTCTGAGGGAGGAGAGGACGGCGTCACCGGCGAGAGAAGCCCCACAGGGGACAGACGGGTCGGGGTAGTCATGGCTGAAACATACCTGGTGGAGGAAACAGGTTTTTATTACAAAGCATGACACATGAATGCCTCATCATTGATTTAAAAATATTGGAGAAGCTTTTATACTATAGGTCTCAAACTTGATTTCTGGAGGGCCTCAGCTCTGCACAGTTTCGCTCCAATCCTAGTCAAACACAGCTAATTCAACTAATCAAGCTGTTCAGGACTACTTGAGACTATTAAGCAGGGGTCAGTTGGAGGTGGTTGGAGCTAAACAATGCAGAGCCGTGGCCCTCCAGGAATTGAGTATGAGACCATTGTTCTATACTCTGTTCTATACTCGGTCCTGGAGGGTCAGTGTCCTGTAGAGTTTAATTCCAACTTTCTTCAACACACCTGCCAGGAACTTTGTAGTATTCCTAGTAAGAGTTGGTTCAGGCATCTTTAATTTGGGTTGGAGGTAAAATCTGCTGCTTAACAGTCCTCCAGGACCAAGTTTGGGACACCTGCTCAACAGTCCTCCAGGACCAAGTTTGGGCACCCCTGCTCTAAACAACACTGGTTTTTTTTTAAACCAATTATGGGTGTAATAGAGACTAATCCAACATCTGAGTTCATTTATTTTTAAATCAAATTATTAGGACCAAAAGTTAACCCAATGTTTGGGTTAGTCCATCTTTTACCCAATTTGGGTTTAAAAAACCCAGAATTTCTTAGAGTGTATGCAACCGTATCACACTACAGTAAAATATTGTTGAAGTCAGAGTTATTAACCCCCTGTTTATTTTTCCCCAATTTCTGTTTAACTGAGGGTAGATTCTTTTCAACACATTTCCAAACATAACAGTTTTAATAACTCGTCTCTAATAACTGAATTATTTTATCTTTGCCATGATGACAGTACATGATATTTGACTAGATATTTTTCAAGGCACGTCTATACAGCTTAAAGTGACATTTAAAGGCTTAAAGAGGTTAATTAGGTTAACTAGGCAGGACAGTGTGATTAAGCTAGCAGAAATAAAACAAAAAAGTCTTTCTTCAGAATAAAAAATATTATCAGACATACTTTGAAAATTCCCTTGCTCTGTTAAACATCATTTGGGAAATATTTTAAAAAAGAGAAAAAAAAAAAAACTCAAAGGAAAAAACTTGAAAAACAGTTGAAAAAACTTCAACTGTATGTGTGTGTATGATAATGGGTTATTAGCTTTAAGATGACAAACAGGAAACATGATCAGAATGACAACAATGTAAATTGGTTTTCACATCCTGTAGCCCAGCTAACAATTTTAGGATCCTAAACCTAAGATCTTAAAACCTAGGATCTTAAACCTAAATATCCTGGACTTTTTCTTACAGTAAGCAAAACAAACAACACATATTTGTCAGGACTGCAAGGCCCTGCAAAAAAGTGAGATTTTTGAGGCAAACCGTTAAATACTAAGATATTGCAGGTCCCACTTCAGACCCACGAGAGATTACAAATTCTTAGGTGCTGCTCATACTGTGTGATCTTTAGCATGCTAAATTAGCATGAAACTGGCCCTCCAGGAGCTCAATTGAAGACCCCGGGTTTAAACACATCCTTAAATTGGAGGCTTTAGCACCAGGTAGTTACAAGAACTTAGTAATAGGAACTAGCAACCAGGCCCAGACCCAAAATAGCTATTCAACCCCCCTCCCCCCAAGATTATTTTCCTGATTGCATTCACACTAACAGCAGGAATTCTGAAGTGATGGGGCATGAAGCATTCAACAAAACTGGGATATGAATAATTTCAGGCTTAACTGTATATGTTACATGACTGAAATTGCAAAAAGGAAGACACTTACCTACATTATGACAAATTGTAATGCTACATAGAGTGCTTGGCATTTGAAGTGGATCAAAACCTTTCATCAAATGTTGTCTTAAGACTATTGAAGATTCTTGTCTTAGGACAATTCTGAAAAACATTTTTGATCCACTTCAAATGTTGACTCCTGTATAATCAAGGCTGAGTAAAGAACACAACAGTGATTGTAGCTTTTTGAATGTGTATGTCTTCTAAAACTTGTACAAGACCTGTGTGGGTGTTTTATATGAGATGCATTCACCCAATCATTATGCCAATGTACTGTACTGTAGTTCCTTTTGTGCTAACTTTCCAAACAGTTGTTCCCCCAAACAGTGTTCCTAGAACTGTGGTTCTGCCAATAGTTTTGTAACTTGTGAACTATGAGTTCCTCTAGTGCGAAAGCCCAAATAATCAGTAAAGAGGAAGGGAATCCTGCAAGAGTAATGGTACCTCTCGCTGTAAGGAGAGTCTCTGTTGGAGCCCTGGGCTTCTCTGGAGTTCTTTAGGTAATCATTGAGCTGATGGACACCTCCAGTAGCGTTCAGACGGCCCCTGTGACTAGGTGTCCCGTGCTGACAGTTCTCAGCTGATGGCTTCATCAGGACTGCATGACTATCAGAAACCACACTCTCTGCTTTGCCATTACTCCAGCTGTAAGAAAAACCAAGACAAAGCCACACTTCACACATGTATTCTTCACATTCAAACATAACATTTCTTCATGTTTATTTATACAGCAGTGCCAGACAGCATTAATTGATTATTGGTTTTAATTAAAGAATTCGATGTAGAATGACTTGCAGTTTACCTAAAATTTCACTTACTGTAAAGCTGCTTGCAATTTATCAATAATACTTGCTTTTACATTTTATACTTCGCAATTTCTTACTAGTAATGTTGTGTTGTGGTTAAGATTTGGGATTATACTTTACCATTGGCTAGATGAGTGAGTGATGGCTGTGGACGGATGTGTTGGTGATGTGAACTCATTTGTGGAGAGTGATGTTTCCGCTTCTTTGTCTGTCATATGAGCTGGGACAGGATTCGTCGGCATGTAATGCTGAAAGCAAATGCCAAAAGGTTAATTGCTGTACCACAGTTTTTATTTCACCACACACTGTAATACACTTGTCTTTATTTGCTTCTAATATGATTTCTAGTTAAAGAACTTCTCTTTTGTAAATATTAATTGACAAAGACACCAAAATGGGGCGTCTTGTCTTTTATTCTAACACAAATGGTGCAATCTTTTCCTAAAAAGATGACAAGATAAAGAACCTTATTGAGATCTTGCTACAGCATCATTACTGGATGATTTTATTATATCAAGCATCCATTTAATTATATCAAGCATCATATATCAGCATACACTGTAAAGAATGTTGGGTTCCACATAATTCCTTCATGTTGTTCCTACACAAATCAATTAAGTTAACTTTAAATTTAAGTGGAATGAACATGAAATAAGTCCATTTTCCTCCGAAAACAAGAGACAAGAAACTTAACATTTGAGATGTTTCAACTCATTTTAAAGAAGTAGTTTGAACAAGCAGCAAAAGTCAACCTCTATATACATTTCTGGAGAGTGCTAAATATGTCCCAGGAGCTATGTTTTTTTGCAATTTTGGCTGCTTTGTACTCTTTCAGATCTCAAATTTCTCTCATGAGAACCATTCGCGCCTGCGTAAATCCGCCAGAGGTCCCTGTCGACTGGCCGATCGACTGACTCACCCTCTTCCTTCCCTAATCCCAACTAAGGGCTTGTTTTCACTGAGTGTTACAGTACTGTTCGGTTCAGTATGCTTTTATGGTCCTTTTCACTGTCAAAAGGTACCAAAAATCAAACTGTTACTTACCAGTTTTTGGGTATCCCTTGCAAAGGGTAACTAGCAGAACAAAAGGGCACCAAAAGGTGGAGCTAGACGTGCAACTAAACGGCATTAGTTTACAGATTTACGTCACTCGCTCGTGCAACAAGCCAGAATGAAAACAAAGGAACCGCTATGTTTTTATACACAGCCGAGACGTTACACCATAATAATATATACATATAATAACAAGCCATGGTCGACCCAAGCTTAAACAGACATTGTGGTTGTCTTGATGAACAGCCACAAAGCCAAGAAGAAGAGCAGAATCTTCCCTGTGCCCTGTACTTTTTTACAAGGCCGTCTAAAGCGAGAGCATTTTCGTTTTCTTGCTTGTGCTCGCCATGTGTCTATATTTGAAATAACACACTTCTTAAGCTGATGATAATAACGTGCATGTGGTCAATGAAGAGCTTCTGACATCCGATCCCGTCATAAACGAACATGTAAGACTGAAGCATGAAAAAACAGCAGCAGATGATGCTTCTGCAACCCTAAACATGAACAAACTGCAATGTTTAACTATTAGCATCACCTTCTGGACTATTATGAACTCGAAATGATGGAATTACTTTCTAACAGAGGTTACAAGTGCTGGTGAAGATTAAAGATACAGATTAGAGGTTTGTGGGCTATATGTTGCGTGTTGTTTTTGAACCCAAATAAGGACTAAATGTATGCGGAGTCTAATTTTTTCTGTAATTAGTAACATATCGGACACTGTAAGGTATATGTTCATATATGTTGCATTTATTTATTTTATATAATTGCAGACGTTATAGTGGGCTACTCCGCCGTATCATTGATCTGCAGTTATAATCAAATCATGTTCCTAGAAAGGTTAGTTATGAACATTTATTCAAGTTTTAATGTGTATAAAGCCTCTGTTTTGTGAGAAGTGCTTCTCATATGATATGTGAACAACCCGTACAGCTTTACTTTGACATTTTCTCGAGTGAGAATGTCGTCGACTGAAACTTTGTCGTACACCACACCCAACAAAAAGTACCATTGGTATCCTTTAAGCAGTGGAAACGCAAGCCTGATAAAGGTGAGCCATACCGACCTGTACTGTACCACTAAGTGGAAATGGGCCATAACATTGTTTTTAAAAGCACCAATTGACCAGCGCCCACCCATTTCCCTAAACCTAACCAACGGTTTTTAAAAAGCAATCCAGAAAAAACAAACCCCTCGCCTGATTATTACCATGTTTTAAGATTTAACCACATTCTCACCCTGTTATTTACTTGTTTATTTTATTTTTTGGTTCTGTTTTTGTCTTACCTGCTGTCTGAAACGATTCTTTATCCGACTCTTTAGTCAACTGCTCTCTGCCTCTCAAGTCTGCCGACATACATGGTGAGCTAACTGGACAAACTGGTAACAGTGAGAAATCGTCCATACGGCTGTAAGCCGTCAGCTAGTAAGCGCGAAAAGAACGGCATCATACTGCGCTGTATCATTCATTTTAAATGCAGCCATATGTACCTCTGGCTACATAATTCGCGATCTTCAGAAATGTATATACTGTAGGGGTATGTTTTCAGAATGAACCTATGATGGCAAAAGTCATTTTTTGAGTGTATCATCATAACCCTGATGATTGTCTGATCTGTGCAATGACGATACTCACATTGACCAGCTGCAGGTTTTCCGGTGGAGGGTGAGGGTGTTGAGGGCCTTTGGCTGCAGCGTTTCGCTCTCGTAAACTCTGCCGCAAACGATCATGTAGCTTTTTCCGTTGTTTCCTACATGCGTAAAAAAACAGCTCTTAGACGGGAGGACATTGCATTTCAACAACTATCAATAATTCATATGATTCATTTTAGTTTTTGAGTAAAACATTAGTACAAACAAACTAAAACAGACATTTCAAAATGGGAATTACTTTGTTTTGCAGTAAGCCACCACACACATGATGCCAACAACTAGAAGAGCGATGCAGATGCCTGTTATAGTCAAAACGCGTTTCTGATAGAGCTCCTCAGCTTCTGGAAGAGAGGACAGACTGCTTTTGAAGCGTCCAGGTAAAACACAAACACCCATCACACACATCTCAGTCACATTCTTACTTGGAATATTTGAAACAGCGATGTTAGCAATGGTTTCCAAGTAAGAACACAAGCTGTCACACATGTTTGTTTTCCAGTGACACTTTAAATTAGAAAGGGTTTAATGCTACTGGTAGACACAGATGTTTATTGATCTCAGGATGGAGTTTTCACTGAGAGGGGCGGGAGGAGACAACAGGACGTGTTAATTCAAGGTCAGTTCAGAATCATCATGTCATCGCAAATGACATGAAATGCAAACTCTGCAGGGCCCGAGGGCTCTGGGATGTCTTTAACACTCAAAAGTCATGCATTTCACTCATTTATGAGGTTTAGATCACAACATCGAACGACTGAATTTATTGAAGCCTTCAGCCGATAAAAGAACTGATTCACATTTGGTGTTTTTGCATTGTTGATTTCTTGGTCTATTTGTGTTTATACTATACGTTTGTCGGTACAAATGGAATGCTGAAGGCTTTAATAAAAAGTCATGAATTAGTAGCAGCGCAAACTCACAGGCTGGTAAAGTCTATTTTTTTAAGACTAAAGATCCATTTTCTTGTGTTGATGTACATGTTTGAGTGGAACCTTGGTTTACATGTCATTCATGAACTATTTTGCTTACTATTGGTAAAAACATAAACATAATTTTAACAGAAATAGATTTTAAATTGCTCTAATACTAACACACTAAGAAAAAAATGGCCCTTGTGCTTTGCAAACAGTGTCGGGGAAAGTTGCTTTAAAAAGTAAGGCATTACAATTTTGAGTTACTCCCCCAAAAAGTAACATTGCATTACTTAGTAACTTTTTATGGAAAGTAATGTTACACGTTACTTTTGAGTTACTTTTTCATACCTGCCAGAGGCTTGATCTCTTTCAGATCTTGCAGGGTATTTTTCTTTTTTAAATAGAAAGCTCTGCAAAAAATGGCCCTTGTGCTTGGCAAACAGGGTTGGGGAAAGTAACTTTAGAAAGTAAGGCATTACAATATTGAGTTACTCCCAAAAAAAGTAACTAGTTGTGTAACTTAGTTACTTTTCATGGAAAGTAATGTGTTACGTTACTTTTGAGTTTTTTTTTTTTAATACCTGCATGATGATTGATCTCTTTCAGAACATGCAGGGTATTTTTCTTTTTTTTAAATAGAAGAGCTCTGCATTTAACAACACACTGTATAACCTACACCTTCATTTTACCTAAAAAAATAGAATAATGTTACCTTTTGGGACGCTATACATGCCGTATATACAGATTAATGAAAGTTAAAATCAATGTGTTTGCTATTTTTGTATTTTTTGTCTTATTAGTTCAGTTGAAACACTGATTATTGAGACAATCTCTTTTTCTTCCATGCATTGAGAATAATCCAACACACAAATGTAAAACTTTGCCATCTTGGTTTCTGTCTGTTCCCGTGGGGAGCTCACTCTCTTAGATTGCGATTCAATGTGATTATACTCATTTTAATTCAACAAATACTTTTTAAAAGCGAAATAATTCATCCAAAAGTAACTCAAGTTACATTTTTTAAAAAAGTAACTCAAATATTATTACTTAATTTTTAAAGTAATATGTTACATAACTTGTTACTTATTAAAGTAATATTATTAAGTAACTCGTGTTACTTGTTATGAGTTACCCCAACACTAATTACAAACATGAGGACATTTTCTGTAATGATGTTTTACAAATATTTTGCCCCTAAAAATCTCATTTAACATTTTAAATAAATAAATTTAAAAAAATGCTGGTGATTTTATAACAAATTACTTTTTTAATATAAAAACGTTTACAATGCTCTTAAACAGTTAACAAGTTTATTTTTTTATTTTTTATTCATTACAGCTAAAAGTTTACCTCAGGTTTGCATCATAAAGGGTAAAACAAGCTTTGAGTAATTTGGTGTACTAAAAGGATAGTTACTTACAGTGCTCAGCATATATAAGTACACCCCTCACAAATCTCTCTTTTGAATTCATATTTTTGATAGGAAGCTATACAATATTATATTTGTGCTTATAAATGAGATTAGTCAGTACTAAAGCCAAATCTGGAGCTTATCTAACAAAATAACTTATGGATTAAATTCTTTTATTTCCTCTAAATTCTACACACAATACCCCATGATGACAATGTGAAATTTTTTTTTTGTTGAAATTGTTGCAAATTTATTAAAAATGAAAAACCAGTCCATAAGTACATACGTTCATAAATCACATGTACATAAGTATTCACAGCCCTTGCTCAATACTTACAATAATCCACTTTTGGCAGCAATTACAGCCTCAAGTCGTTTTTGAATATGATGCCATAAACCTGTCTTTGAGAATTTTTGCCCATTGCTCTTTGCAGTACCCCTCAAGCTCTATCAGGTTTGTTTGGAAGCGATGGTGTACAGCCATTTTCAGACCTCTCCAGAGATGTTAAATAGGATTTAGTTCTGGGCTCTGGCTAGGCCACTCAAGGACATTCACAGAGTTGTTGTGAAGGCACTCCATTGATATTTTGGCGGTGTGCTTTGGGTCATTGTCCTGCTGGAAGATGAACCGTTGCCCCAGTCTGAGATCAAGAGCACTCTGAAGCAGGTTTTCATTCAGGATGTCTCTACATTGCTGCATTCATCTTTCCCTCTATCCTGACTAGTCTTCCTGTTCCAGCTGCTGAAAAACATCCCCACAGCATGATGCTGCCACCACCATGCTTCACTGTAAGGATGGTATTAGCCTGGTGATGAACAATGCATGGTTTTCGCTAAATGTAATGCCTGGCATTCACTCCAAAGAGTTCATATTTAGTCTCATCAGAACAGACAAGACTTCAGTCTTCATGCTTGGTTTGTGCTTTGACATGCCCTGGGACCTTATTTAGACAGGTGTATGCCTTTTCAAATCATGTCCAACAAACTGAATTTACCACAGGTGAACTCAAAAATGATCAGTGAAGACAGATTGTACCTGAGCTCAATTTAGAGCTTCACGGCAAAGGCTGTGAATACTTCTGTACATGTGATTTTCAGTTTTTTAATTTTGAATAAATTTTTTTTTTTCACACTGTCATTATGGGGTATTGTGTGCAGAATTTTGAGGAAATAAATGTTTTTAATCCATTTTTGAATAAGGCTGTAACATAAAGTTTGGAAAAAGTGAAGCGCTAGGAATACTTTCCAGATGCACTGTATACTAAGCACTTTATTACAAACCTTAATGAGTTTCGTTGCACACATTGAATTGAAAAGAAGATATTAAAAAAAGCTGGAAACCAGTAACCATTGACCTTCACGATTTTTGTTTTCGCTACTATGGAAGCCAGCGGTTACAGGTTTTTAGCATTCTTCAAAATATCTTCTTTAGTGTTCAAAACACAAAAGAAACTCATGAAGGTTTATACACACTTGACACTACTTTGATTATTTAAAAATGCTTTTACTCTGAAGGATGATCGCAAAGGCATTCTCATTCAAAAAGCATTTGATTGGTCATTAAACTGTATACGCCCTTAAGTACAAGATGATGTCATCAAAATTTGTTGTCCATTTAACTTCATTGAGCTTTTTAAAGACCCAGATTAATGTATACCTCTGTTAGAGTAAATATTTTGAAGCCTGTGAGCAAACGCTACCACCCATTTGGTTAAGATTCTCTATCTTGAATCTTTCTTTTAATACAGCAAACATATTGATGATGCATTCAAACACAATCATTATGTACAGACATCAATAAAACACAGAGGAGAAGAAGAAGAAAAATGGGAGAAAATGAGGAAGAAAATGAGGAATGAGGTGTCATGCTGAAGTACAGGGATGCATGAATGGAGGGCAAAGCAAAGCTGAAGGGATCTAAACACAGCATAACTACTGCAGTACGGCTTCTCTTAAATTTTTTCTGCCTCTGTGTATGTGTATGTGTGTGTGTTTGTGAGAGCTTTCATATCTGCCTTGAATGGAAGATATCAGAGGTCTTGATGAATAATTAACAACATCCTTCCTAGCATGCAGGCTAATGCCCCCCGCGCATCTCATGCTTTAGAGCGGCTATTCACTTTCTTGCCTAAAACCCTAGAAACCTGCAGAGTGGCTCTAAGCAGCCATCTGAAGTCCAGTGCATTAATATGAATATATATATACAGTAATAAAAGGATAATGATGCCAATCATCTGTTATGGCTGTTTGATCCCTTCATGAGCAAAAGGAAACCAGCTGAAGTTGAAGGAAACAGGCTCAAGCTTCTAGACCTACGGATCTGCAAACTAGGAGGAAAGAACGATTCATACCCATAAATTCAATCCCAAGATGTTCTGCCAAGGCAGACAAGGTAATGAAAAGAAAGCAAAACACAAACAAACATAAAACAGTTGAGCGGTGATGTCAACTCTGACTGACTGCACACAAACAACCACCTCCAAAAACACCTGAAATCATCTCGGCATGTAGAGCATACATTACACAGATACAAAAACACACATTTGAAAGTGTAAAAAAACAATTCAAACCTAATCCGTTTGACTTTCAACCCACCATGACAATGCATCTTTAATGCTTTCAGAAATTCATATATGTGGATGGTTTATCACACGTATATAGTGATTCACATCTCTATATACAGACACTTATGGTTGGTTGTCATTATGACACAATGACATGCACATGCAGACGTCACTGCGGTCGCATCGTTATCGATCCTCCGCATTACACTAGAGTCAGACTGTGTTAATTCATGTGATTACACCAGCACATGTTAAACATGCTGTTAAACACATGCATCTCTCATTCGTCTAATCTAACACTGCTGCTTGTTAAACTGATACCTGATCCTGTTCATCTCCACACTAAAAAAACAGGTTACGAAAATATAACGTGACATAAAGCACGTTCTCAAAAATTTACATCAATGTGAGATCAATGCATAATGTGGAATAATGTGATTAAAATATAACAA